GTTATTAGTCTCATAGCAGACGAATAGCCTCTCCTAAAGCCATATACAGCTTTAATGGTCCTCTAATGTGATTTGTCCTCTACCTGCCTGTCTCTCTCAATGTGCCTCTAGACAGTGACAAGGCTGAATTATTTATCTGCAGCAGCTGCTCCTGATATAGACGCATGCTCACACACCTCTGAGCCAAGATGCATTCACTGATGTGGGCTTTCTCAGGCCGCAAAGTCAGACATTTCTGATGAAGGTGTCCAATCATGCAAAGGCGTGTGCAGACTTGTTGAATCCCCCCTGTTGTGCTCCTTGTATCTTGTTTCTTACTCTCTTCCTAAACAACTCTTATTCCAACAATAATCTCCACCATATTAATTGACAATCATTTCATCACACCTGTGCCTGGCTGCAAGGCGTCATATATACCTTTGAACCATTGAAACCAGAGAAGAAATACACTGTGTGTGTGTGTGTGTGTGTGTGTGTGTGTGTGTGTGTGTGTGTGTGTGTGTGTGTGTGTGTTCATATGTGGGTTGCTAGGGAGCCACTAGGGGCTGATGGTGACATTTGATAGATGGTGTGAACTTGGGGGAGAGTTGAGCAGGAGGAGAGGGGGACACACAATCCTCGCTGCATCTGGACAGATAGAGCATGCCTGAAGAAGGGGGGAGTGAGAGAGAGAGAGAAGGGGAGGAGAAAACTGGAAAGCAGACTAAAGGACATGCACTTTAGGGAAGCGTGAGGCAGAGAGAGAGAACATATCGAAGAGGAGAGGAGAGCAGGCTAAACTAAAGGGAAAGGAACTTGTTAGGTGATGTTTCAGTGAAATAACAGAGTAAGGCAGATATTTGGAGGGAAAACAAAGAAATCGTAGCTGGCAATGCATCACTAGGCACAAGTCTTCTAAGTGAGTTACTTTGTATTCAGCATTGACAACCAACAAACCAGGGCGCTGAATGAGTGAGGAAGGTGCACCACACACTCTCATTCTCGCACATGCTGAGGCTCAAACACACACTTCGTCCAGCAGTACACATACAGGAGGAGAAATGCAGCTCCAAGCTTCTACAGATACACAGGAGAAGAAGGTGAGTACCTAAATGCTTGGAGCTTGTTTGCCGTTCTTTTGTTTGTTTTACACCCAAGTGTGTCTTAATCTGGGTACGACTCAAAAGTATGTAGAACCAAGAGCTTCAAAGGCTTTATTTATCTGGCACAGAGCAGACTGTGGAGTGACTGCCAGAGTGGTCCCACCGAGAGTCACAGAACAGTGCATCCTTCGCTGCTGGAATCCAGCCATTCCAAACCTTTTGTCGCAGAGTACTGATCAAACACACTAGAGGAAGAGGGCACAAACTAATCATGAGGGAATGAAAAATAAAGAGTGGAGGGCAGTGAGAGTTGAAGAAAAAGACAGTAACATGCAGAGAATGTCGGTGAGTTTAGGTCCTTGTTGTGGTGAAGTGAAGGGAGATGCTTGGTTGCTCTTTGGGCTGTTTCACCTCAGAATAAACTCTGTATTGACAAAAGGCATTCTGCTGTTAGTCTCTTAAGGCCCTGTGGAACTGTTGATGTGACCGCTGAGTGATAAAGTCAGCGGTTTATGTGGTTTACTCACATCGGCCAGGGCTTTCACCACATTGCAAACTGCTCCATACTGCTCCATGTTTCCAAAACTCACCCAGGCTTCTCTTATGACAACTGTTCACAGTTCACATTTTAGAGAGGAATTAGTCTTAAACTATTAATGCAGGAAACACAGCCAATTGGAATGGCAGTTGTTAGTTTTCTCAAAATTGGTCAAAGCAACTTGAGTGAGTTTTGGACGATCCCTCTTCACTTACTGTAATCACACGGCTCAGCTCCTATTACATGAGGACATGTTTTGGAGAACATGTGGGTAAGAAGCATGTGAACTGCCGTCCAAAAAGGATTGTTGGCAGCTGGGCATTGTTTTTAGCAGCTGAATATACTGAATGGGTTATATTCAACTCACACCCTGAGTACTGATTCATGTGTACAGTTACCTCACACAGCCTGTTCAGCTCTTATTAAACTTGATGATGGGTCACACCATGGACACCCACAGACAGTATTTACCCCACAACCTGTCAGTTAAGTCTGCTTATAATATGGGAGTTGGGGTGAAATTTAGCAGGGGTTTGAAAGAATAGACCAAAAATGTATGTGGATTTCTTTGGTTGTATTTATTCACTTTTGAGGTATTCATGCAGTTCCTCCCCATACTATTTGTCCACCAACGTCATTGCTCAATATCCGCCCCTCCCCTTCTATCCATCTAAATTCACCGCAGCAGTAGAACCTACTTCAGGCTGTTTCTGGGGAGAAAAATAGAGGGAGTCTTGGAACGTGGAGTATGGGAAAGAGAGCCAAATGAGATAAGAATGTGCGATGTGAGGATGTCCGGCCTGGGCCTCTTTTTTTTTTTTTTCTCCCCCTCTTTTTTTCTGGGCTATTTCCCATTTCTCCCTCCTTTTCTCTTTCTATCTGTCCCGATCCATCTTCCTCTCCCACTGTCTCATTCATTGGCTCCCCCAGATGGTGTGTTTTTGTACCGTCCTGTCACCCAGCTAAATGTCTTGGGCCTTCTCCCCATTTCTTTCTTTCTGTTTACCCCGTTTTCTTTAGAGTTGCTCGGTAACATGCAGCATGCAGAAATGTAAATGGTTTGTCTATAAGTTATGAGAAAATGTATGTTAACTGCTCTTTTGTCTCCCTCTCTTGTCACGTCTTGCTATTTTAGATTAGACAATGGCTCTGGTTGCAAGATAGTTTAAGGAAAGTTTTGGTGATAAGCCAAATTAAATCTGGGGACGAGCCATATTGAGTCATTTATAGTCTGTCATGCTCTCAACAAAAACATACAGGCCTGCATCAGACTTGGAGGACTCTCCGGAACATTCCCTCGGTGCCTTATGAATTCAAAAACACATTATCATATATCATATCCTTTTGTCCTTCAGGCCAGGTCTTCTGTTTCTCTTTATTCCTTTCGAGTACCAATGCTCTGCATCATCTTTAACATATGGACTGTTTTAGCTGCAGACATAGTGCCAGACAATAGTCTGTGATGAAATACCACCATAGCTATTGACCCTAGACTAATACTAAGGTCAATTAACAATAATCACTAGATAAATGCAGCTTCAAACACAGATAAATATTGGAATAGAGCCTTTTAAAATGATGCGGGCAGGGTCTTTACTGTCTGGGACAGAATTGAAGTAGGTGGCTTAGCCACTGACACGTTGGAGAGCTCCTAAAGCGAGTCGGTTAAATTTAGACGAGGTGCTTAACACCTTGTATGATGGACGTCCCAGCTGAAACAATTAACACGAGGATAGCATGAAGCTACAACCTGGTCAGGAAAGAAGGTTGAGCGTGGGCAGGATGCAACAGGTGTCTCAGTTGTAGCAACATGCCGTGAACAGCACTATTTGCTCAACAAAACACAAACGCGCTCTTGTCCATGCACTTAATCCACTGCTGTGTGATCAGTTTGAGATTTGGATCCCTCTACTCACCCATCTAATGCAGAGGGCATCACACGTTCACTCCTTATATCACAATGATGGATGGGCCTGTTGACTTGCGGCACATGGACGAGTGCTCCAGTGTTAATAGTCACTGGGTCTGGATTATAACTCACAGATTTTTCTGTCATTTTCTCTACCAGATGGATCCGGTGCAAAAGGCCGTGATCAACCACACCTTTGGAGTTCCACTGGTCAAGACCAAGCGGCCGGTCATCTCATGTAACGTCTGCCAGATCCGCTTCAACTCAGAGGTACAGTACAGAAACATAATAAACCCAACACATGCACAGTATTTCTCCCACTCCACATCTCCATTTCCCATGTGGCATTAGATATGCTGTATCTTGCTGTTTGTACACATTCACTTTTCAACTCATATTTTTGCTTTCGGAATGTGTTGGAGGGCTTTTCTATCTGTTTGCTATCCTGAGAGTGGGTGTTGACAGAGGATGTGGTACATTTGTTTGGGCTATGTTTTGGCAGTTGCGACCCCATTGGAATTTAATTTGTTTCAAGACGGTGTGCAGTTAGTAGAAGCAATAAGCACTGCAGCACAAAGCTGAGGAGGCTGCTGAAGAAGCTGAGAGAGAGGTAGAGGAAGAGGACTTTACCTGCATTTTCAAACAGATTTTCTCTTGCCCATCAAAGCTTGATTAAAATCCTCAACATGTGTTAAGTTAATTTCACACAAGCATGTCATGAAGTGATAATTTCTTTAAAATGAACAGAAATGTTCATGCTTTTGTATAATTCTATCATTTGAACAGCAGTTTAATTCGTCCATATGGTGTAGTTTACATCTCAACTCATAATGGGAGTTTAATGGCACATTATACCCATGGGCAACTTGCACACATGACTGATGACAAATTAAAGAAAACAAACATCATATGGAAGTATTTTACGTGTAGTGACACCAATCCATTCTCAGTCTTTTCTTCCTGCTGTGGATGAATAGGATAGACACATGACAACATCAGTGCCAAATGTCATGTGCGCAGTGTATCATTTGGCTGTGATGCTCCCTATTCAGTGGTGCAGACTGCAGGGCCAGGGCGTACATTCAGCCACAATACACAACATTAAGGAATGGACCGGCGCTATATATACTCCACAGGTCTACAATCATGGTTTCCATGTGGTCATGGAGCTGCAGGCCTGTAATTTTGAGCCTACACTTTGCAGAGTTCCCATCTGTATATCTTCATAGGTAGAGGAGGCAGTCATTCAAAGATGTTTATATGATACAAAATGTTGAGCCCCACAAGGCAAATACTGGCGAATACTACGAGTTAATCTGTGAAGAATTCAAATATTTAAGTTAATGGTTAGATCGTTTTAATGACAGCTTAAAGGAAAATACATGACTTAACCTTGCTAGAGAAGCACCTAATGCATCCAGAGTGTTTTCCATCACATTTAGCCAAATATAACATAAATAATCACTTGTGATGATGATGTATTGAGAGGTTCTGACATTGATTTGCAGAGTGGAACGACAAATCATGTTTAAAGCAGTAGGCTGCACTATTTGTTTTCTGACATATGAGTGATATCTGGCTATAACCTGCCTCGTCATGGACAGATCCCTCCTCCTTACAGTGCCAACACTATGAAAGATTTAGGAAAACTCCACATATGACTGGCTCCTTTTGTATTTTTGTTTTGTTTCTTTCTCTTGTTCATTTAAGAGAGACTTGGCATAAGGTAGCATAAAAGCATAATAAAGATCCATCTTATCTTATCTTATAAAAACATTGTTACAACAATAAACAGACTAAGATCACTTTCACAAGCAAACAATTGCATACCATAGTCATGCAGTAAAAGATGTTAAGCCAGTTGCTGTTGGAGGAAAAAACAGGCATGACTTTCCAAAACTAGAATAATTATTTGGAGACATATGCTTAGGTTTCATGAGCATTCAGTCCCCTCTGAAGCTCTAGTTCTGTTTACTTGTGCACTTCTTTGTAACAATGCTGACACCTACTGCTGCCTTGGCATTCCTTCTGGCTCCTGAATGATAAAGGACATACAGTACACATCTCACAAATGTGAGTCCTTACGATTTTGATAGGCAGGACTACAGCACTTCTCTGCTGTCATTGTTAGTTTTGCTGCCAGTGTTCACAAGAAAAAACAGGCTCTGCAGTATATCAGCAATGTCAAACTTTTGTGTCATTTGTGCTGTCCTACTAACTCGGCTGGAGAGAAATTGTCCTTTATATCGCCATGGAACGACTGTCCACCCACACTGTTCTCTTTTACATAATGTCAAGTCGGGATGAATATTTCATGGTGGAAAATAGTACAGAGGGAAACGCATCGAAGAATCCTGTGCTGCTTCCCCCACCACGTTTATCCAGTCTGTGTCTCTGTTTTGAGAAAAAAAAGATTATTATATTGCCCTTGATGTTGACATTTCTCAGTTTTTATCTGCCATCTGTGAGTTGATTAGGTCAAGGAGATGCGAGGCGGCTTACCATGTAATGTCATGATCAATGTATTTGTCTTCAAAGGATCCAGCTCTGCCTTCTAGCTTGCACCTCGTGCTCCCCTCATTTCACGCATCATTTTGCCATCATTCATGCATCCCCATTTGATCTTTTTCTCTGTTCCTCATTCTTTCTCTGCATGTCTCTCTCTCAGCAACCCCCATCCCCCCTTTATATCTGTCTCCCTCTCTAATATGCTGCATTATTTACAGTGTGGAAATGCCTAAAATTGCCTGCCACTACTTATTATAAGATGCATTCGTCAAGGGCATGGATTAATGTCTGGCTCTGACAGCCCCAATGCATCTTGGGAAAGTCGGAAAGAGGAGACTTAGAGGGAAAGGAATGGACAACATTTATCAAGGTGTGTTTTTGCCCGGCTGTCCTTGCTTCGTGTCGTGGTGCGAGGTGTTAAACGGTGGTTTATGCACAATAACCTTGGTGGCGTGCTGCATTAGTGACATCATAGACTCTGTCGCGCTGCATTGACCAACGTCACAGCTGCTGCAGCAACACTATAGGCTGTACGTCCCTTTTTCTTACTCGCTACTTCCCTGCCCCCGCTACCCTTTTATAACTCTACCCTCTCTATTGTCCCAGTCTATCTGTTATTCACTCCTCACTTTTATCTTCCTCTTCTTTTTTCTTCCTCTTTTGTCTCATCTGGAGCTGCAGCTGGAGCTAGTCTGTGAAATCACTGCTTTTCCCTCAGATTGGTAGTCATGCTGGAAGACACTAGTTCAGTTTGAACCCTTTGCATAATGAAAAAGAGGTTGATGCGTATTTCAGCTTTTCCTCTCTCTAAGATTTTTCTCTCTTATATTATTCCCCTCTTCATTCTCAGCTCGTTACATCACCCTCCTGGTCTTTTCCTTGTCTTTTTTTAAATTCCTGGCTACACACTTTACCTCCTTCACATTTTCTTCATTCCCTTTCACTTCTTTCCATCCAGGACCTCACACTGATACTCAGCTGCCTGGCAATTGATCCCCTTGACTTGGTTGGAAAGGTTAAGAGAGCCTCTGTGGCAGGTTTTCCAGAAACCATCTTACACCCATCTATCTCCACTTGTTTCTTTTTTCCATCTGAGAAATCACTTCTCTTTTAGAAGCCCTCCCGACACACCCCCTTCTTCCACCCACAGCCCCCTCCACCTTGATCTGCAGGCTTTGCTTAAGCAGCTACTTAAGACCCCTTTGATAGGGTCAGTTACAGAGGGTCTGCTATATCTAGAGCCCAGTTTGTTATCAAGATTTACAAGAAACTTGTTATCTTCTAAATCACTTCAGTCCCTGCCCCAGGTTTACCGTGCCAGATCACGTCCTGGATGCCATCACAAACACACACATACAAAAAGCACACATGACTGGGCTCAGGGACGTTACTCATCACCGACTGCCCTCTGCCAGACTATCCCTACGTCTGAGCCTGTGGTCAGTGTGATGTCTGAAATTCTCCAAGCCTTTCAGCACCTGTTAGCCGCCAGGCGATTTGAAAAACATGACTCTCCCTGGCAACTAACTGTAATCCAGCAAATGAATAATCATCTTCAACATTGGTCCCTCGATAGAAAAAATATTTGGCTAGGACAGACTGGCATGACACTTCTGCTTAGACAACATACTTCAAACAGCAGGGAACTAACTGATATAAAGTGTCCCTATTAGCAAGAGCCTATTTGTGCTTCTAACAGACCGACACTTGAGCCATGATAAAGGGAAGATAAAGAATGGGCGAACAGATGGAAACTATGGTTACATGAATACTCCTTGTGTGTGTTTCTGTGTATGTATGTGTTTTTTTCAACGGTCAACGGTGAAGCTTAACTAACTGGCAACAGATTAGTATAGCAACCCTGAATCTCATCCGCAATGTTGCCCCAGACTCACATACCTCTGTGCAGACACACAAACATACACGGAGTACAAACAGACTCCCCTGTTGTCTCTCTCATGATGAATAGACTTGCCTCTGTTGTTTACTCTGTGAACAAACACATTAGCTAGTAGCTAGCCTTTCACTAGGAGATTAGCCGCACTAGCTAAGCCTTCTGTAATATATCTCTGCCCATTGTTTTCAGTGCTGGAATGCAGAAAGATCTCCAGTCCCTGGAAACCTCCAGACTCAGGGTCCGGTTCCACATTTTATCTTTCTATGAGATATTTCAGACAGGGTCTTTGCATGCATAGTCTGTATGTATAGGTCTGGGATTGCATTTGAGCCTGACCCTGTTAGGCAGCAGCTGAAGGCCATATTCATGTCTGCCTCCGAGGCTCTCAGTGATAATGTCTACTTCTATAAAATCAAATCAAATCAGGTTTTTATTTATATAGCACATTTTAAAACGATTTTTGGTCGAGCCAAAGTGCTGTACATGCAAATAATAAATAACACATTACTACAATCGCAAACAGAAGACAATAAATTACAACAGCAAATATAAAAATCAAACACAGGGAAATGTCATGGGTCGTGCTCCGCTCTGACTAGAATATTAACATGTGTGTATTGAGGGAGGAGGGTATTGTCAGCTAGTGACTTATTGGCCCTCCAGGCAGATAGTGTGGCATCCCACTGACCCCCAGTTGAACTTCCCTTGGCATGTCTATCAGCATGGTTGTAGTAATGAAAGCTGGAGCCAAGTTTGTATTTAGAGAATTAGACTGCAGAGAACGTATGTCAAGACTTTGAGCTTCATGATAATGTATTGTTAATTTGAAAACTGGACAATAGGATGACGAACGGGACAAGGGGGGCAGACAGGTCAATGTCTCAAATGTCTCCCTCTCTGCATCATTGCACCTTTTTGTTCCAAAGCTTGTTATATATTTATCCAGTGTAAATCTTCCTGCTTTTTATGGCTCCAGTCCCAAGAGTACATTGAATAATATGCTATCATAATGACACGCATGCATGTGTGTGTGTGCTGGTGTCACAGTGACTCTAATCCAGCCTGCAATGTTTATTCACCTGTTGGCATTGTTGTTCACTCACACCATAACATGTATATTTCCATGTTCCCCTATAGAGCCAGGCAGAAGCCCATTACAAAGGAAACCGGCATGCCAGGAGAGTCAAAGGCATCGAGACCTCTAAAAGTCGCCCTCAGGAGGGGGACAAGCCTCACACTGTGCCCCCCACCTCCTCCCCTTCTCCACCCGGCGCCCTTGGCCCCGCAACAGACAACGAACCCAGCAAAGCGGGTGAGATATATTAGAAAATATAAAACATGGTATGATTTATTAAAACAGTAGAATAGAAACAGAAAACCTTTCAGAATATGTGTAGGATGTTTAAAGGCTTATCGTTTTGCTGAAAATTGAAGTGGAAAATAGGCAAGAATAACAAAGGCATCTAATCACAGTGGCTTTACAGTTTGTTGTTCTGAGCATCTCGCCTCTCTGTGTGGTCCGACAGGGTTGCAGCAGAGCTTATGGCCAACGGTTACAGTCACACAAAACTATTTGCACTTTAAAAGGGCTCACATATTCACTCACATTCTTTCATCAAACCAAACCTTTAGGTGCCAGGACTTTTTATGCTTGATTATCTGCTTCATGTCGACATAACTATTTGTAACAACAGATTAAGTGTATTTGAATTGAAAATAAGAATAGATGGACCTTTTTATTTTTCCCTGTGGGGAAATTCAGGAGAAAGAAATGCGTTCCTTTCTTTAACCCTGGACACATTGAAGTACATTTAAAAAACAACTTTAAAGCGTTGGGTCACTATGGATAAACTACAGTTTGATAGTCATGGTGTATTTTATTAGAACAGTTTATGATCAGATACCCGAAGGGGAATTCATACAATTTTTTTTATCTAAAAACAAGTTTGTCAATCCTAAAACAAAATATAAATGTATTCTGACTAATTTAGTTGAATATAATCAGTATATGCTGGTAAAAGAAGCAACATACTTACAGCTGTTAGTGTTAGCTACTTGGCCAAATATTATATAGTATATGTATCTTAAGTAAATGTATACTGTCACCAGTGATACTGTTGCATTATTCATACAGCTCATAGGCCTTTTTGGCTAAGGGTTTCAACGTTAAATGATCGAATCTGTTGGACAGCTGAGTAGCACAGAGAGGAGTAGACCAACCATACCAGATGTCAGGTGTCCCGTTTTCTGAATGACAGGTTGATCAAAGTAAAAGCATCATTATTGTACCACAGTCTATTCTCATATTAGTCCAGTCCAACCACAGCAATGCTTTGTCTGCTGAGCTATGTTAAACTGGTTTAGTGTCCTTCTATTTAGGCGGTGAGCAGGTGAGTTAGCATAAACATGGTCTTAAACATGGTGGTTCAAGAATCCCCCCTGCGGTGTGCATATTTGTGTGTGTGTGTGTGTTTGCACACTTCTTAGTGAGTGATTGAAGTGCAATACCATTTGCCACAGAGTCAAAATAGACCATGTTGCCTGAGCCCAGTGTGGTGGTAATGAGTGCAAAGACTTATTGAGAAAAATAAAGATGACACCAATCTAATCCAGCATCTAAAAGCACAAAGACAGCAGATGATCTGAATTTAATGAAGAGTAATTCACTGTTGAACAATTAATGTATTGGTAAGTAAGGACGTGGGGTAATGCTCTCTTTCTTTAGCAGTATCTCTTTAGCACTGTCTATGTTGTCTCAGTGTTACTTTCTCTCTCCCTGTCTTGCTCATCTTCCTATTTTGAGCTATAATTCAGACGGAGAGTGCTGTGTGCCTTTGCCCTTGTCCTTTTTCCACACAGATTTTGTTTCCATTCCCTCAGTGTCACCACTCTGTCCTTGGATCAAACACTAGGCATTGAATAGACCGGCCATGTTTTGGTGACATTTACAGAGGTCTCTGTAGCTGACTGTTTACCAGACATTTGCACTAGTATTCACAGGAGGGAATAGAGCAAACACATTAAATGAAAAGAGGAAACACAGGTCCAGTAAAGGCCAAAATGCAACATCCTACCAGAGCAAAGACCTTAGCATTTACCTGAGACTTTTTCTATGCACAAAAATAACACACAATTTATAGTATTTGATCCCAGAATAGTAGGAGGGCCAGTCCTTTTCACTCTCTTTCCCTCAAGGGGGGGATCTGAGATCAGCTCCAGGCCTGTCGCCATTAGTAAGACTTCCCGTGGCGAACTCGAAAGATTGAGGAGCCAAAACAAGCCTG